TGGCCTATTTTACTAGTCCCAGATGATAGGTGAGGGTGATTGGGGAGCAACTGGTGGAATGAAGATTGGCAAGGGAAACCGAAATACTCGGAGAAAACCTGCCCCAGCGCCACTTTGTCCACCACAAATCTCACTTGACCAGACCCGGGATCGAACCCGGGCCGCCGCGGTGGGAAGCCAGCAACTAACCGCTTAAGCTATGGCGCGGCCTTTGTGGTTTCACCTTTGTGGCTACGTGAACGGTCAAAACAATAGGATTTGGTCATCTGAAAATCCACATGTTACACGAAACGCCCTTGCACTATCAGAAAATTGGAGTGTGGTGTGCTGTATAACGTCGTCGAATAGTGGGCCCAGTTTTCTTCGAAACAACAGTGAACAGTCCAGTGTACCAAGACATCATTGCACACTTTTATTGCGCTTCTTGAAGCTGATGAACGTGAGTGTTGGTTGCAGCAACACGGTGCCACATGTCACACATCTAATGAAACCATGCAGTTCTTGCGCGATTTTTTTGGTGACCGTCTCATTTCGAAAGGATTTTGGCCCCCGCGTTCGCCCGGTTTGTCACCCGCAGATTTTTTCTTTTGGGGGTACCTCAAAGGAATTGTCTATAAAAACAATCCGAATACACTGGACGACCTCAAGAGGAACGTTACGACGGCGATTAACAGCATCAGTTTACACGTGCTCCACAAAGTGGCCTCAAACATGGTAAAAATAGCTCGTACATGCATTGCTGAACAGGGAAGCCATTTCGAGCATATGTTGTAAAGACATGATTTGATTTTGCACTTCTAAGATGTTAGGTTATAAACATTAATAATAAGTGCTCTATGTCCTGTAGTTTGTGCATTAAACCAGCAAAATATAATTGCTTAGTGTGATGTGAGCGACTTCTCGATCTCCCTGTAGTTCCGTCTCAGTTAACATGGAAGCCAACACACTCAGACACAAAAAAACAAGGGGCTTCTAATAATTGGTGAGGCCAGAATTTTTCTTAAGATTGGGTGACGCATACTGTTTCAGAGTACAGACTCACTCACTTCGTCATGAGGGACATGTTGCTGAGGCGATTGTAAGGTCATGGACTGGCAATCCACGCTGGAGAGACTTCGTGTAGCAAAATGTCGTAATGAGAATTGCTTTTTCCCATAGGCGCAATGTTTAAACTGGAATTATTTATAAAACACATCTTAACCCGTTACACATCTTAAAGCAAAAGTTGTCCTTGAGCTTAACTAATTAAGCACTACGCCATGAAGACGTATGGGGGAGTGGATGGATAGATCCACGTATTCTTGACCTCGGTACTAATTGGAGCTGAGTGGTCAGATTTACGCCTCCGCAGTTTTACCCTGGAGGAAGAAACCCGGGTACCCATGGGACATGAGACTGGGTGGGTCCCAGAACTGGTGTGGATGCTGTGGAGAAGAGAGAAATCTTGCTCCTACAGGGGCTCGAACTGTGACCCCTCAGCTGTCCAGCCCGTAGCTAGTCGCTATACCGGCTGAACTATTGCGGCTCCTCGTTACACCTCTAATATATAAAAAGTAGCGATATTAGTAACGAAAATTTTGCTTCTACAGGTTTGAACCACCACTGCCCATCGGCAGAAGGCACGACGCACACTGTTCAGTACTCAAAATGGCGACCGTGCTTGATGGTGTGCTATCGAAGAGCAGTGTTCTGTTGTGTTTTTTGTGGACAAAAGGACTCAATGCAAAGGGTTTTCATAAATAAATGTTTTCTGTTTACGGTGGGAAGTGTTTGTCGCGTAAAGCGGTTCACAAGTGGGTCGAGAAACGCGGAAAACCTTTCGCCGATGACTATGGTGAAACGGAAGTTCGCAAATGGCTGAGAAAACAGTCAAAAGACTTCTGTGCTGCGGGTTTCGACGCACTGGTAAAGCAATGGGGCAAGTGTACCAGTGTGGGTGGAGGATATGTCGGGAAATAAATTATTTTTCTCATATAGTATAGCTCCATGCATACTTAATCTGGACACTATAAGGAATCATGTTGTCAGCTTCAGATCCCAGCTGCTTTGCCCTTGGAGGAAAGGAATGGTACCCACTGGGTAGGACCACAGTACTCATCTGGACACTGTGAAGAAAAAATACCTTGCCCTAGTCCGTCACCTAGTCACTATACCTACTGAGCTATCCCTGCTCCTCTGTAGATCTAGAAGTTTTACTAGATTTGGCCGCGCCACAGCTCAAGCGGTTAGTCGCTGGCTTCCCACCGCGGCGGCCCGGGTTCCATCCCGGGGTCTGGTCAAGTGGGATTTGTGGTGGACAAAGTGGCGCTGGGGCGGGTTTTCTCCGAGTACTTCGGTTTCCCCTGCCAATCTTCATTCCACCAAATTCTCCATCATCATAATTACCCAGGGAAGGCTACAATAGGCCAATTAGTGGCCGCCGTGTCGAGTGGATCCAGTTTGACTCCACCTTCCACTAAGCGAATTAAAAAGAAATTTACTAGATTTACATGTATTTTCAGTGTTACTCAGGACATGCCAAAGAATCCTATGTGACGTTATCATGTTTGATAGTGAAAGATGGATAACTGTACCCCAATCTCCGTCATGGATAACTACCACTCTGGGCTGTCCACAACTTCCTATTTAACATGGGCTTCTATTAACAGTTTCTCCTCACAGCCTATCTGCAGGCCACTGGCTCCATTCTGAGCTTAAGAAGGCAACACATTGTAGTGAAGAGGGACGCACTCAACGACATGAAGCCGCAACTCTCATAAACTTTTTTTTGTGGGTTATTTTACAGCATTGTCAGTAGCTATACAACAGATTACAGATTACTGATGAATTGAAAGGATTAGAAAGGAGGCAGCATGAACTAACTGAAGTACTATCCTGGCATTTCCCAGAGGGAATGAGGACTGAGGAAAGATGACGTCTTGTCTGAGGTCCCCCTGAATGTGAATAAGGAGCGTTGCTGCTATGTCAACCCATTCGATCATAAAATTTCATAAGCACAAACAAGATAACATTCAGAAGCAATGATAAAATGTATTAGGACCTAATTATGAGTGAAAGAAGGGCATCTTGTGGAAACCATCTTCCTAAATAAAACTGAAAGTGGCATCTTCAGGGAAATAGAAGCCCACAACGCGAATTCCATATACTCTCTCTCTCTCTCACCACTGAGCAAGTACATATTACAATAACACATACGGAGCCAGGATAGCTCAGTCAGTATATCAATGGGCTATGGGCTGGATGGCCACAGTTTGATTCTTGGAAGGTGCAAGAGATTTCTCTCTAATCTACAGCATCCAGACCACCTCGTGGCCTCCCACAGCCTCCTATCCAGTTGGTATCAGGGGCTGTCTCCCCAGGGGTAAAGCAACTGGGGCGTAAAGCTGACCACTCCCCTCCATCTAGGGCCGAGGTCAAGAATGATGGAGCTATACCTCCACTCCCCCACGTCCTTATGAGGTAGTGCTTAATTAATTATGTAGAGGGACAATTCTACCTTTTTTGTAACTGATAATATTATCACGTGTTGGGTATGTCACGCGACAAATAACTTCACGTGGGTCTCGGATTTAGCGAATCTTTATTGGACACTCGCACGCTTACACTCCTTACAAGTATTATCGCTTGCAGTATCACTTGACTTCTGGCCCAGTACTCTAATGCGACGTCTCAATTATCCTTGGCCATGGTTGGATCTCAGCTGTCTCTGGCGGCGGCTATCCCAAGATTGTCTCGTTCTCAATACTCAATACTCTAATATCCCAATGCTCTGTACGTCCAAGTCCAAGCGGACCGGATACTGGATACCATTCCTCAAGGTTCCATTACCGCTCTTCAGACAGTCCGTTGTTATGGGAACGCTCTTTATAGATTACACCGGTAACGCGTTTCGTCTCATCCGTTGCTACTCAACGACAATTCGTTGCTACGATTTGTCGCTGCGGGAACTCCACAGTTTCCACGTATTCGTTGCCGTGGAAGTGTCCGTTCCGTTTGTAGCGGTTGTCGCGGTGATGGACGTAAGGTAACGCGTCACAATATAGACATGTTTCGAACAAATTCTGAGGTTCATAAGTCAACTGCTCACGTAAAGATGGTTTACAAAACATAACTCAGTTCTAACAAGATAATAATATAAACTATAAAAAACAGCAACAATAAATACGAGAGAAGATAATAAGATAAAGATCATGTTGGAACATAAGCAGAATAAATGACAACAGATTTCTATGGAACAGTAAAAGCTGTGGAAAGGAAGAACTCCCAATTCCCAGCGGGGACAAGAAATTTTGCTCTTCTGCATAAAGTACACACCAGGTCCAGGGCCCACACAGCCACATATACTATATTGGTTACCGGGCGCTGTGTCACTTGCGCAAAGTGGCCAGGGTATGAAGCTGACCATTCACCTCTATTCAGTGCTGAGGTTGACAATGGTGGAGCTATAACCCCACTCCCCATACATCATCATGGAATTGTGCTTAATTAATTATGTCCAGGGATAGCTTTAGTTTTTATGGAAAGGAACATTTTTAAGAAGCATAAATCAGATGATGATGATGATGATGACACAGTAAATGCTTGAATGAACATGTTTTAGAAACAAACAAAAACTGGCAATGCTCCAGAAGACAACACAAATCCAGAACTGCATAAATACGTAGATTCCAAAAGAACTCAACAGAGTGAAGTCCTTATTGAGAAGCCCACAGTCGCTCAGCCACTCAAGAAATTCTCAGCATTTTAATACAGTACAAAAATATTCTGAACAATTTACACTTGAAGCCCCAAATGGTTATAGAAAAAATCAATTAAGTAGAGATTCAGTATTGTGCTACACTGCTTCCCTCTTGTTTCAGGCACAGAACGTAAAGACTGGTTACCAGTACAGGGTGCACATAAAGTCCGTGAACACTTTAAATTATTTGTTGCACAAGAACTGCAAATTATACAGACATCATATACGTGTCATTTTGAAAACTCTGAAAGTTTGTTTTTACCTGATAAACTTTCAATGTGGGAACCATGAGTGACTCGGCAGACGTCCAAACGGTAATCGAATTCTTGCCATACCCTTCCCAACATGGCTTCGTCGGCTGTGGCAGTCGCTTCCTGGATTCTCTCCTTGAGCTCTGCTACATCACGTGGAAAAGGCAGTACATACACCAGATCTTTAATGTATCACCATAGAAAAAAAAATCACACGGAGTGATATGTGGCGATCGTGGAGGCCATTTCACGAAACATGTCCCCTTCTGCAGCACGTCCGAGCCATCGCTGGGGCAGCTCCGTGTTCATGTATTCACGAACTTCATCATGAAAATGGGGTGGAACCCCATACTGCTAGAAGACGAACGTATCAGAATCTGATTGAATTCGATGCACTGATTTCTTCGAACTCCTCGTGAATGTCTCTCTTACATGCTCCACATCTTCACTCACACCGGGACGTCCACTCTTCTTTTTTGGGCACAAGCAACCTGTAGCCACGAATTTCTTGTGCAAGTGGTAAACTGTCTTCCTGGTTGGTGGGTTCTTACCATTTCTTATTGCTAGTGGGGTGGGACTAAGTCCCTTGTACTGCGGCCACTTCTGGCCTATTGTACCAGCCCCAGATGATAGGTGAGGGTGATTGTGGAGCAACTGGTGGAGTGAAGATTGGCAGGGGAAACCGAAATACTCGGAGAAAACCTGCCCCAGCGTCACTTTGTCCACCACAAATCCCACTTGACCGGACCCGGGATCGAACCCGGGCCGCCACGGTGGGAAGCCAGCGACTAACCGCTTGAGCTATGGCGCGGCCTGGGCTCTTACCATACTTGGTCCTAAAGTTTCGTTGCACATGGGTAGCACATTTGTTTTTGTCGAATCCTAACACACAGAAGGCCCCCTCACCACCCGAAGTCGCCATGTTTGCAACTAACGCTGACTATCGGCAAATGACGGAATTACGCGCATTGGCGGAACATACAAACTTTCACAGTTTCTCTTCAAAATGACATTTATATGTCTGTATAATTTGTAGTTCTTGTGCAATAAATAATTTAAAGTGTTCCCGGATTTTATGTACACCCTGTATAATGCAGCACAACTAAACCACAGGTGGAAAAAGTCTATAACACAATTACTTCACTTCAAAAGTACACATACAAAATAACAGAAGGTCCCAATAACAAGTATTACAGTAAAATAAGATGGGAAACCAAATGGCCACATGCAATGTCTAACTTGCAGATGGGCAAAAATCCAAACAAATGGGGGAATTCAATATAAACCCACCCTAACAGACAACACGGTGATCAGCTGTCTGGCGGAAAGGACGAACAATGCCAAAAATATTTTAAAGTATGAAACCAAACTAGAAATGTTCTGTTCTCCATAGTTTCAACGTGGGCAACATGGAAGAAGAAAGAACAAGGGGTGCATGAACATTGCATCCTGACATAACTGAAAATACCAGACACAAGCTGTTCAAGAACTGCATCCTCTACTTATGCAAAATAAAAATATTTTGAACAATTTATATCTGAAACCCAAAAGATTTCAGAATACATCATTCGTGCATGGACTTGGCGATCTGTTCTACACTACTGACTGATACAAGAGAACATAATTTAGACATAATTTAATACACTAAGACCCACATTTTTATGTACCGAGAGCTAAAAGACATACCAAATGGATTACTTGATCAATAATAAATATCTGTACAAAGACTCAAAAAAAGCAGGCCTGTACAGGCACACCCTGTTTTATTGTGCTTCGCAGATATTGCTTTTTTTTTTACCAATTGAAGGTCTGTGGTAATTTCGACGTTCAAGTCTTATTATTTAAGAAATACATTTCATAAGGTTACAGCTGCCATACATAATGTTTCCTCTGATGGATGTGGGAAAAGCAAATTGACTACTTTCTGGAAAGTATTCACCATTCTTGATGCCATTAAGAACATTCATGATTCATGGGAGGGGGTCAAAATATCAACATTAACAGGAGTTTGGAAGAAGTTGATTCCAACCCCCAAAAATGACTGTGAGGGGTTCAAGACTTCAGTGGAGGAAGTAACTGCAGATGTGGTGGAAACAGCAACAGGACTAGAACTAGAAGTGAAGCCTGAAGATGTGACTGAATTGCTGCAATCTCATGATAAAACTTTAGTGGATAAGGAGTTCCTTCTTATCGATGAGCAAAGAGAGCGGTTTCTTGAGATGGAATCTACTCCTAGTGATGACGCTGTGAACACTGTTGAATGACAATAATGGATGTAGAACATTACATAAACTCAGTTGATAAAGCAGTGGCAGTGTTTGAGATGACTGGCTCTAATTCTGAAAGACGTTATATTGTGGGTAAAATGCCATCAAACAGCATCACATTCTGTAGAGAAATCTTTTGTGAAAGGAAGAGTCAGTCAATTCAGCAAACTTCTCTGTTGTCTTATTTTAAGAAATTTCCAGCCACCCCAACCTTCAGCAACTACCAACCTGATCAGTCAGCAGCCATCAATATTCAGGCAAGATAACGATCAGCAAAAAGATAACGACTCACTGAAGATGATGAGTAGTATTTTTAATTAAGGTATGTAAAAGGCAAAGTTGCCCCTGTGCTTAACTAATTACGCACTATGCCATGAAGGTGTATGGGGGAGTGGATGTATAGATCCACACTTTCTTGTCCTCGGCACTAGCTGGAGGTGAGTAGACAGCTTCACGCTCCGGCCGCTTTACTTTCAGGGAAAGCTTTTGGTACCCAATAGATAGGAGGTTGGGTGGACCCCAGAGCTGGTCTGGACAACATGGAGAACAAAAAATTCTTGACCCCTCAGTCCAACCAACAGCCAGTCGCTATACCAACTATGCTATCCTGGCTTCAATTAAGGTATTTCTTTTTAAACATAATGCTATTGTACACTTAATTGACTACACTATAGTGTAAACACAACTTTTATATGAACTGGAAAACCAAAAAATTTGTGACTCACTTTACTGCGATATTCACTTTATTGCAGTGCTCTGGAACCAAACCTGCAATACCTCCGAGGTATGCCTATATATAAAAGTTAAAACTGATCAAACTAAAAGCTAGAAAAATGGCTTGGCAACTATTTTTTAGGCCAGGGTTTGTCTGAAACTCTGAACGGCTAAGATAGAATACCATTTCATATGTCTAATATGCTGACTTAATCCTATTTGATCCCATACTTTGCAAACTGAAACTGAAGACAGAACTGATGGGCACATGCTCAACACATACACGTTTAATTTTTTTT